GGTCACCTCAGTGTCCCTTTGTGTCCCCTCCCCGGTCCCCCAGTGCCACCCTGGTCACCCCCATGTCCCTCTCATGCCCCCTCCCGATCACCCCGGTGTCCCCTGGTCCCTCCGGTGTCACCCCAGGTGTGTGTCCCCTCCCCTGGGGACACTCACGCCACCCTTGGGGACATTTAAGACACCCTTGGGGACACCCCTGAGCTCTGAGGACATTCAGACCCTTCTTGGGGACACCCTGAGAGCCCCTGGGGACACCCAGACCCTGGGGACACCCTGAGAGCCCCTGGGGACACCCCGACCTTGGGGACACCCCGACCTTGGGGACACCCAGACCTTGGGGACACCCTGACCTTGGGGACATCCCAACCTTGGGGACACCCAGACCTTGGGGACACCCAGACCTTGGGGACATCCCAGCCTTGGGGACACCCCGACCTTGGGGACACGGGGACAGTGCCACTCACGCCACGTAGTCGATGCTGAGGGTGGCTGTCACCACCCGCCCGGCCAGAGCCAGCGCCAGCGTCCCCAGGGAGGTGTCGATGAGGGTGGCGATGGCACCGCCGTGGGTCAGCCTGGGGACAGTGGGGACAGTCGGGACATTGGGGACACTGGGGACAGTGGGGACACTGGGGACATTGGGGACATTGGGGACATTGGGGACAGTGGGGACAGTGGGGACATTGGGGACATTGGGGACATTGGGGACACTGGGGACATTGGGGACATTGGGGACACTGGGGACATTGGGGTTGTCGTGACAGGGGTGTCACAGAGGTGACAGCAGGTGACAGGGGTGTCACCATGGGTGTCCCTCCAGGAAGGGCCTGGGCTGGCACAGGTGACAGGAGGTGACAGTGGGTGACAGTGGGTGACAGGAGGTGACAATGGGTGACAATAGGTGACAATTGGTGACAATGGGTGACAATGGGTGACAGGAGGTGACAATGGGTGACAGTGGGTGACAGGAGGTGACAATGGGTGACAGGAGGTGACAGTGTGTGTCACTCACCCCGGGTGTCCCTCCAGGAAGGGCCCGGGCTGGCAGAGGTGACAGGAGGTGACAATGGGTGACAATAGGTGACAGTGTGTGTCACTCACCCCGGGTGTCCCTCCAGGAAGGGCCCGGGCTGGCAGAGGTGACAGGAGGTGACAATAGGTGACAATGGGTGACAGGCGGTGACAATAGGTGACAGGAGGTGACAGTGTGTGTCACTCACCCCGGGTGTCCCTCCAGGAAGGGCCCGGGCTGGCAGAGGCAGCGCAGGCGGCGCTCGGGGACACTGAGGAACATGGCGAACTCAAAGCCGTCCCCGTCCCCCTCGATGGCCCTCGGGAACAGCCGCGTGTCACCGTCACCGTCACCGTCACCGTCACCGTCACCGTCACCGTCACCGGCCAGCCCCGGCACCTCTGCGGGGACAGCGCTGTCACCGGGCTGGGGACACCGGGGACACAGCGGGGGCTTTGGGGACACC